CATTTTTTTCTCCGTATATTTTCTTTTATCAATTTTTTTAAATTTTTCCTAAAAAATTTCTTTATTTTATTTTTAAATTTATAATTAAATAAATTAATATACTCATCATTTAATAAATAACTTTATGCTATTAAGTATATTTGTACATTAGATTTACATGTAAAATAAACAACAATTAAATTATACAATATATCCATTTATTTTTAATATTGTGAAAGAATTACATTATTAATAATATTTATTATCATAAATATATAATTGTAAAACAACATTTTTTTACCGCCAACATACCCGTGATATTTTTTTCTCTTAAAAAAATATAATATAATGATAGGATAAACAAATTTTACCCAAGATAATATAAATTATATAATTGTCTTTTGGACAACTATTAAAGTTGAAAATGAAACTTATATTAAATTCATAATGAATTAATTTATTCGACAAAATAACATATAAAAAAATAAATATATTAAATTAATTCGAATAAATCTATTATATTAAATGAATTTATAAATTATATAAATATTTGTGAGGACATTTTTGGAACATTCTATAAAAATTAACGCATTCATAAGAATAAATCATGCAAAACAAACGTGACTATCCAAATATTCCCGAATATCTTTTAAAATATTCCTACGAAACAAACGTGGTTATCTGAAGATGTCGGACATCTAACATTCTGAGCATTTGAAATTTCGGGCATCTCTAGATGCCGATCATCTACATTCCCGAAAAACAAACGGCACCTTAAATTTCATTAATTTATTTAAACTATAAAATTAAAAATTAAAATAAAAATTTGATGAAGTAAAATATATGAAAAAAAAATGTCGGCAAAATGTAGAGAGAGGAAGCCTCAATATCTCAAAAACCCATGTTTCAAAAACACATCTGAAACACACGTTAGATGTCTTCCGTACGAGCATCTTTAAATACTCGAATATCTTGAGATGTCCGAATATATCTTAAATTATGGCGAAACAAGCATAGAAATCTAGATACTCATCTAGTGGAAATCTTAAATATTTAGTTTTGATTGAATCACTTGCGTGTTGGATTACATCTTTTAAACGTATTTTTAATATACTAGCTTTTTTAGTACACCCGAGGTGAAAGATCGAATTCACAACCTCTTAGTTGGAAATATATGTGAGTTATCATTCTTTTGACTTTAATATACTAGCTTGATAAGTTGTTCTTCATTCAAAAGTATTTGTACTAATGTCAAATCACCATTAGAAACTATTAAACGTTGGGAGACAATTAATTACAATTTACAAGTACATGACTTCCGTACCTATGCACAAAAATTCATTTTAATAACCCTTTAAACATATTGTTGATGCATAAATTTGACCTCTTGGAATGCAGCCAAATTCGCACCCATCTTCTAGAATAAAGGGATTGTGCAAAACAAAATAACACAACTGGAGAAGTGAGTATGGAGAGTAGGATATTTTATCATAGGAAAGAGTAGAGATTTGTATTAGTAGGGATTTATATCATACTTTAGGTTTGACCGAATTGTGGAATTCAAATCCCTAATATATCTAGAAAATCTGATTATCTACGGAGATTTTCTCCTTTTAAATATAGGATATCTTATCGTGAATCTGGAGGTCATATCTTCCGTGAAAATTGGAATTTTCTCATCCATAACGGATATTAAGTTGAGATTAGACATTATAAAATCATGAATTACTCGTTCTAGTTTTTTTTTTTTTTTAAGGCATAAATTGATCTCAAAATTTAGATATAATTCCTAAACATTTAGAAAATGTACAAACAAATATTGAAATCTAAATATATAATCTCTAAATCTAATTAAATATCTACTGATAAGACATAAGATTTGTAGGGGCGGGGATTGGAGCTCCAACATTTTGGTCGAGTATGTATATCTTAACTAGTCGATATACGTTCAAATTGGCTAATATAGATCAACCTTTTCTTTCTCGATTGGGGATACCCGAGATAATTTTTTTCGATAAAAAATAATTAGGGATCATTTGATAATCATTTTGTTTTCTATTTTTTTATTTTTAGCTTTTACTTTTTGAAAAACATGCTTGTTTAATAATCAAATCAGTTTTCTATTGTCCTTTTCAAAACGTTTTTTAAAAATTCTAGGTAAATTTCAAAGAAGTAAATATATATAGTTTTTTAAAATATATTTCTGTTTTTTAAAAATCTTATTTTTCTTGTGAGGCTAAATTTCTTCTTTCTTTTTTTCATAATTCTCTTTAACAAATTTCTTTCTCATTCTAAAATTTTTTTCTAATTAAATTTCTCTCTAAAAAATTTATCTTTTCCTTTTCCTTTTTAAAATTTTTATTTCTCAAATATTTAATATTATTTCTCTCACCCTCACAAATTTTTATCTCTATCTAACATATCACTTTCATTTTCTCTCTAAAAATTTAATATTGTCTTAAACTTTTCTCTTTCAAATTTCACATTTTATAGTTTTTATTTCTCTTTTTAATCTATTTTTAATATAGCAAATATGTCACCCACTTTTCTCGTTTTAAATTTTTTTCAATTTCAATTTTCTTTCCCTATAACTTTTCTTTTGCTTTTTATTTTTTTATTTTTCTGTAACAAATGTATCTCAAATTTTTTTCAGTTTAAAAATTTTATCTATAATTTTTCTTTCTTTCTCTAACATGTTTTTCGTCTCAACTTTACTCTCTTTCTCCAAAATTCTCCCACTAAAATTTTTTTTTCAATCTTTTTTTATCTTTCTAAAATTTCTCTTTAGAAAATTTCTTTTTATCTCTTTAAAATTTTATTTTCATGTCTCTAAATTAGGGACCACAAAAATCCCTACAAGGTCGGGTACCCACCCCAAGAATACGGAATGAATTTCACCATGGCTCGACCCCATCCCCAATCCTTTTTTTAAATAATAAATATATATTTATTAACTATTTTACTAAATTAATAATAAATTATTAAATATATTTTTTTAACTAGTTATTTATAATATCAAGGGGCTTTCGGCAAACACCAGACCGGGGGTTGGTTGATATGCTACGCTGTTGGACTATTAATCTCATTCATTCAAACGAGAGGAGTTCAGTTGAATTAATGTTAAATTATATTTTTTTATATATTTATTACTCTTTTTAAAATTTAAATTCTAAACATTTTAAATTAATTACGAACCCAGTAATTTTGCCCTTGAAAATTTTCATCCCCAAACGAGGATTTCTAGACCTAGGACCTTGATTCCCAAGATCAAGGAATGAGGTGGGGACAGAGACTAAAAACTTCCATAAGTACTACGAGGATGGGAGAGCATGCTCGGCTCCTGAACCATCTCGTAAGCATTTCTACCTTATAGAGATTTTTCTCTCTAGCATGTCTCTTAGACTCTTTAACTTTTTAAAATCAAAAAACAAAAATTTGTTATCAAACCATGTTTCGTTAAAAAAAAACAATTATCAAACATATATAAAATAAAAAACAAAAAAATAAAAAACAAGAATTGGCTATCCAACAAGTCCTAAGTAACATTAATTAAATTAAATACTTGAAAGAAACTGTAATTTACGTCTACTTTTGTGTGCAAACCTTTAGGTGGATAATGTGGACATCCCAACCATGCTCAACGCCTTTAGATTTTTTTTTCTTTTCGATTTTTTAAATACAACATATGGGATGGAAATCAAAATCCACGACCTTCTAGCCCAGACTAGTTTTTGCTAAAATATACAAAAATGGTCTCTAATCTTATAGATTATTCTCAATTTGGTACTTAAATCTTTTAAAATATTTGCTTTACCTTGCTGTACCCTCAATATAATCGTGTAATTTCATAAAATATTTGTTAACAAAAATTTGATGTTATTATTAACTTATTGTTTTATTAACATATTTGAACGTATGCAACTGAAATACTACTTATTATGTGAAACAAAATATATATGACCTACCCATACGACCTCGTAGAAGAAGTAGATGTGTTTTAACCACGAAATGATGCTCGTGTTGACAACAAAACCTATTTCCTTCATGTGTTTGTTTATAAACACACTCAAAGTAATATCATTACTAAAATGAATACTCAAAATATCACATAACGAGAGGAATTATTTAGTAAACGTCTACCCGAAATATTCCAACATCAAACAATGTATCGATATTTTAACCATGTTCTAAAAAAAAAAAAAAGTTTGTAAGCTTAGAACTAAGATTATTTATTTTTCCAAGGTCTGAGTCAAAATCAGCTAGGCATACAGCTCAACTGAGAGACCACATTGCTAATCAACTTTAAATATGTAACTCAAGTATGCTTCCACTTTTATTAATTTATCAAATGTTATGAACTTTTGTATTGTTTACATAATGATTTATAAAAAAAAATAAAATAAAATGGCTCAATCCTTCCTTTTTAGAGAATATAAAACCTGAAAACAATTACCAAAACATGTTTGGTTTTCTATTTCAAAAAGAAAAATAAAAAATAAAAATAAGTTACCAAAAACATATGATGTTTGTTTCAGAAAAAGCAGAAAACCAAAATCAAAAAGTGAAAAAAATTAAAGCCTATATTTTGTAGTTTTCACATTTTAACTTGGACTATGAAAACATTTCCAAAATGTAGGGAAAAAAAACAAACAAATGGATGGAAATAATGTTTATAATTCTATTTTTGTTTTCTAAATAGAAAGCTAAAACAAGACTGGTTGTGTTTTTTTTTTTTTCCAACATGTAGGGTCAAGATTCAAACTCACTAAAAAACGAAATAATTATCAAACAAAACTTTAAGAACTTACTAGACATTCTATAAAATTATCGACCCGACATTGAAAGTTCTAACAACTGATTAGACACAATTTTCAATGCTCAAGAACCAACCTGTAATCTAACCGTTTGCTTAAATATCAGAGAAAAAAGGGGAAATGATGAAAGAATAGAAATGGAAGATAAAAGCCTAAAAAATGAGACTGCACTACATTAAGTTCCATCCAAGGAATGAAACTAGATCCTCTAGAAAGACAAACTTTGATTTATGACATAAAAACTGTTACATGTAAAAAAAGGTACATTTTGATCCATCTACAGGCTTTTTTTTGACACTAATCATACATACTAAGAACAGTAAGATCACAATGATATCTATTGCTTACTTTTCAAAAATTTGTCAGCACTGATTCTATTATACACCTTATTCAAGATATGGGCTCATCAGCTTGAGCCTTGAGCTGAATCCATAAATAATATCAAAGAAAACCACTGTTATTCAGTGATTTTCTTTCCTAATCTTCCCCCCTACTACTACAACTATTCGTTTCTGAGGCAGAACTAAGATTTGTGGCATAATATATAAATAAGTTAGATAGATACCAACCGACCAGATCAACTGCTTTCTTCCGCAGAGTTGTTGGGGTGATTTGGTTATGCATCTCGAGGTCCGTCAAAGGACTGTGTCTTTCTTAGATTCCAGTGAAGGCCATCGTGAATGCTGCGTAAGAAGTCGTTTGTCGAATCTACCTGGCACGCTGTGGGCACTGGCCATGGCGCCATGCTGCACACAAGTGCGTCTCCTGCTGCTAATTGCTTCCTGTCCTTCCCGTCAAAAGACGCCCATGCATGGCCCCTGCTATTGAAAGGGACTTGTATGCGTATCGTTACGTGCTCCGGTAATATCAAGGGTCGGAAAGACAATGAATGCGGACATATTGGGGTGAACAGAATGCCAGGAACCTGTGAATGTCATGGAAGCGTTTAAGAAATCGTCACTTTGTCCAGTATAAAACTGCTAACCGAACGTATTGGTCGACCGAGGAACATACCTGAGGATGTACCATTGATCCCCCAGCAGCCAATGAATATGCTGTGCTGCCAGAAGTTGTTGAAAGTATTAGTCCATCCCCTTGGACACAAGTTACAAATGAATTGTCACAATAACATTCCAAATTTGTAAGGTATGACGATATTCCACGATCAATTGTAACCTCGTTCAGCACGAGTATGGGTTCTTCAGTTTCATATTCATTTCTCGCTGACTCTCGAATAACATGGCACTGCAGTCGGTGTCGCAGTGTGATACTGATTGGACCCTTTAGAACTGAATCCAAGCATTCTCTGTAATGCTCGCTGTCTGAAGCATGTTAAAGAAACTTTTCAGCAATGAATGAGAAAACGTGGAGGCGTAATAGGTTGGTTTTGAGAATAGCTTTAAACATAAAAGAACTATCACAGAAGTCTTACTGATGAAAATCAATTACTTTCTGGTTACACAACAAATGAATTAATTTCTAAGGTAAATAATACTTCCTCAGAATCTGAAGGATACAAAAAGGGGTCATAAAACCCAGAGACCCTAAAGAAAACGGAACAAGGGGAGGAACTGGTCCTTTAAACATTGATGCTGCCTGCAATCAAGTGCCAAATTATTCCAGAACAAAGCTTTCAAATGTAACATTCAAAAAGTCATAAATCATAGTAAGAAAGTGACAGAACGATAGCAAGGGGTAATGTACTAATTCCAACCACAGAGTTGCAGTATCAAGCCTGAGTTCTAACTAATAAAAACTCAAAATGTCATTTCCAAGAAAAATTTCATGATCAATAACTGTTAAAAATATAGTGAACTTTAATGTTAATATGCTAAACAAAAGTAGTGAGATTAGACAAGTTATTTTTGTTCCTCTGTTTTGGTATGAACACTTTTTTTTTTTTTTTTGATAACTGGGATTGGTATCAACACGTGTTTAACTGCAAACTATTCGATGAATTCATTAATGAAGATCTTAGGTAGTGTTTATGAAGAACAAGGAATTACATCCTTCTCACGGTAAATTTTCCACAAATGTAGCAGCAAAGAGTTTTTTTTCGCAGTTCGGTAATGGTAGCACTAGCAACAGAATTTTGATGAAGGTGGCCAATGAAGCATACAGTTCACAATTATTAATAAACTTGTGTAGCTTCAAAATTTTCTGAAACTACAGCAATTACAATGCCAATTATAATATCTAGAACAATAAGACGATACTCCCAAAAGTTAAATTATCCAACGTACCCAAAGTACAGTTCCGTCTCCACCAAGAGTAACCACAAGATCAACTTTAGTGTGGAGGAGCATAATTTCCTCGTCTGTTGAGAAGTAGAAAAAATCGAGTACCCATAGACAGAATCAAAAAATAGGTCTTGTGGGATGCATGTATAAATGACAATTGGCTATTGCCATAATAAAGAATATAGCTCAAATATGCAGTAAAAACCATCCTTGTCTAAACAAACATGGCTAAGAAATAAGAACAATATGTTTAATATAACAAATAGCAATCTTTGACCACTGACCATCTTTCCATGTTTGAACAAAGTTGAAGAACTCCGACTCCATCAGAAGCTCGCTTTTCACACGTGGTTCAACATAAATGTGAAGACCTTTATGCTCTCTCAACCATCTGGGAGGAAGAGAAAATATGAATTAAGGGAAATAGCATTCTTTTTACACCAAGTCAGAGACTTTTGCAATGATGCATAAAACTCTAGCCTAGCTAGGGGAAAAGAGAAAATGAAATTAAGTAAATTAACACAATGACACGTGTAGGTACAGAAAATATTTTTGCCCAGGCTGGCTCTCGGTTAGTGTAAATGCTTTTACTTTCCTTTCACCAATTATAGCTTAAATGATCTCTTGAGGACTAGATGGCCTTTTCGTAACTTTACTTAATGGGTTCTCCCCCTTTTTCTTTTCTTTTTTATATTTCATTCCATCAATGAAATATTAGTTTCTTACAACAAAAAAATAATGAACTCATTTGCTGAAAGAACAGCTGGCATATCTTAACAGCCTCTCACTCTGACATTCTGAAATGATAAATACGAGACTCATTAAGTTGACCTAAGATTCTCGTTATTAAACAGCACTAATTCCATCCTTATCCCTAAAAAGTAAAATGGATGAAGACTTTCATATATTTATTTGCTGACATGAAATGAAAATAACTTGGAAAACTGATTTAACTAGTAAACACAAAAAGAATTAAGCATCCACACCTGACCATCTCAAAACAAAGAATTCGAACCGATATCGAGTTTGGTTTGGTCAATATAAGCACAGTCTGAGGTTGAGATTCCCACTTCAAAGAAATCTGAAATGAAAATGTTTTATCAATCAAAAGATGGACCCTTAAACCACATTATCGTGGATAAAAAAATGATGGGGAAAAGGTAAAAACACCAAAGAGTTATTGACATGTAAAGAAATGTCGGAATGATGGCTGAATTGTAACTTCTTCGCATTTTTTACTCATTATTTAAGCATATAAGTTCAATAGACATGTTAAAATTTGAACTACATTTGTAAGCCTTTGTCATAGGATGTGACATCATTTACAATATGTAATTGAATTGTTATGCTTATAAGCTTAGTTTTTCAGTTCCATTTTGTCATAAAATTGACTGTTAGAAAAGCAAATACTGCAAGTATCTTAAACTATCACATATATCAGTTACACGAGTTATTTTTAGCAAGAACTAGTGCAATGTGTTTCAGCAGAAACGAACCTGTCGACTGCTACGCTCTGCAGTTGTTATGTTTCCTTTTTCAAAGGAGACAACATCATGTTTATGTTGATCACTATCCTCACCATGGCAGCACCAAGAAAGTTTAAAAGATGCCTGTAATTGTCATTCATATGGGATTAACACAATTCAGTAAATATCTAAAATCACTTCGTTACATTTCAAAGTATTTTTTTCTAAAGAGTAATGATGCTTTTATCAACAAAAAGAAGAAGTATCCTCTTAAAACCTGGAAAAAAAGATTTTTTCCCCCCTTTCAGAACAAAACAGAACTCTACCGATTTGATAAGATTACAAAGGGAGATGATCACAAAAGGAACATTGAAATATGAAACACCACTAGAAACGTCGAAATATGTATACTTGTATGTATCCCCAATACAAGCATGTATATTTGAGAAAAATAATGAAATTTAAGGGAAAACTTTCGATTTTATTTATTTTGCAACTAAATGCCTACATTTGATTTTGAATTTTTTATCGTATCATAAAGTATGAAAATTTGATATGGCTTAACTAGAAATATGTAATTAGTCTCCATATCTTCTTAATGCAACCTTATTAGAGACATGCCTACTTACACTTTTATGGTAGAGTTTCAAATTTATATACATTACTAAAGATCAAATAAACTATATTAGACACAAACAAATATTAGTGAAGCAAAAAGTATCAATAGATAGAATCAGCAAGGAAATGCATAATTTTTTTAAAAAAAAAAAAAAACACGATGGAAGCAGGCAAGCAGTTACTTAAATACCTTTCTCATATATTTTTTGGACGTCCTCTGAGAAACAGAATCAATGTCCCCATCTTGAAGAACTTCATGAGAACATATTCCATTTGATCCACAACACCATTCTGATTGCTCTGTAGCATCTGTGGTTTGATTCCTTGATCTTTTACTATCCAAATAACCATTTCGTTCGGCAGGTGACTGCCCTATAATGCATAAGTATGTGTAGTTTAAAGTACCAAAAAGAAAAAAGAAAAAAATAAATCAGAAGGAAGGAACAAATGGATTGCATATGCGAAAAAACGGTTGATGATATACAAGAGTAGCTATCAAAAATTCAGCAAAAGACCAGCACATTCAATAAATCAGCTGGTTACCGCAATACCATGAACAAAAATAAAAAATAAAAAATAAAAGCATCAGGTAATGTTATTGCATCTGCACTTTGAGATTACTCCTGATGACACAGGAAAAACAGGAAAGTTTATGCTTCAAAAGACATAAAAAGCTTCCATGGACGCATACTTAGCTCAGCCTCAAGTTTATGACTATTGAATTCAAGGAAAAAAAATGATAAGAAACATCAAAGTGTATAAGACAAAAGGGGCTAAAGAACAGCCTAGGGATGGGGGTAACGATAACCCCGCCCAAAGAAACTATACAGTCAAACTTTCCAATCATTGATAATCATCCGGATGCCATAATTACAAAAAAAAATTCTTACGATTTGAACACGACTCAGAGGTAGTATGTTAGTATGTTGTACACTACTCCAAAAAGAATCCCTATTAGACGACCTATCTTCAAAGATTCTCTGATTTCTTCCTTTCCATATATGCCAACATAAGGGCCTCATGACACAACCCCACAATATTATTTTAGCCTTGCCTTGAATTTAAAATTAGCTCCTCATTCTACATAAGTTTACCAAATTAAACTTCTGCCAATTCACACACAGTACATTCAATATGCCTTTTCCACAAGTTCTATCTGATATTTGAATGGCGTTGCCGCAAATGGCATTTAATTTTTTAGTTTAATGTAAGGTAGAAAGTTATTTTCAATCCAATACTATCTAAAAATGAAATTTTACCTACTTTGCCCAAAAGTCATAAGATATCTTTGGAAAAGGACTGCAATGCTCATTGACAAAAGTTAATGTCTTATCCACTTGTAGGATGAAGATTGGAGAGATTTTAAACATAATTGGAGGAGAAGATTTTTTAAACTAAAAATAAAACGTTCAATGAGTCGAGCACCTTTTAAAATTTGAAATAAATGGATTCTACTTTACCCCAAACAAACAAAAACCATTTTGACATCGAACTCAAGAAAACTAGGATGAAGTTTGTCCAACTTTCTCAAACGACTATCAAAGATCTGCACTTCAGTTCAGAACATTGAAGGTGTTTATTATAAGCATTAAACTAAAATTTTCCAATTTAAAACATTAACAAATATCATCTAATTAATACAAGTAGTCCTGTAAGACCAACCTTTATGCTCAAGTTGAAGATTTCTTGTCCTCTCCAATTCGAATTTTCGCTTCCATTCAGCTGCCTCAGCTTGTGCAGAAGCCTTTCCCTCAGCTGCCCTTCTTAATGCTTTTGCAACAGCTAAACATTAAGGAAGATAATATAAGCAGTATATCTTAACCAGCTCATGTTCAGCAGCAAAAATGTGAGTAGAACTACACAAAACATACTTTGAAAGGAAATTACTCGAAACAGCATATCTTTCACCAGAACAGCACATGTTTCAGTAACATATACAAAATATGACTGTGATACATACTTCTCAAGGCCTCTGAGAACTCAACAAGGTGGTCATCAGTCTCCATTAACGGAGACCGTTGAAGAAGTTCTTGGACGGCCTTCTCAGAATTCAGCAGAGAAGTTGCATTAAGAAAACCATTCTCCGGCGGCAGCGGGCAAGAAAAGTTTCCTTCTCCCTATATCAACAGCAGTTTAGTAACTTTAGTTAGCCAAAAACCAAAAAGCACAAGAAAGACAGTTAAATCGAATATTTAACACAGCATAAAACTTCTTTTTTGCTACAGGGGAAGCAGTAAAGCAACATTATACATCAAAAGCACAAAAACAAAAACAAAAAGAATCAAAAAGAGAATAAGAAAAAAAAAAGTGCCCCCACTTTTCCCGTTAAGGCTCGCTTAGGAATCTAAAAGATAGCCCCATGTGAAGAAAAAAAAAACTTTATTCGTACTACAAAAGCATCTCGTCCTTCCTACTCCAACCACCCATCAGAGATTCAAGCTTAAACAGACCACTTCACAATTTCTCTAAGTAAACAACAAAATCCACCCAATTAATCCATGCTCCATACGCTTCTTTGCAGGAACATGACATGAAGATCAAAACTAAGAACACCCAATTCACAAATAGCACCACATCCTCAACCAACTCAAAAACAACCAAAAACACCCACCTCGAGAAGCACCCAGAAAACCCAATTAAGAGTTGAAAA